GATTTGTAGATCTTTTCAATTCTAACAAAGAAGATAGTACGAAAGTTTTAAATAATTCAAGAGGCAGCGTCGAGTGAAAATATTGATTAATTATTTGAGGTAAGTTGTTATATCCTCTAGTATTATTTTTAAGAGGTTTGTTTTATTGAAATTTTATTTTACCTTTTCAGCGTATTTTATATAATTTTATTTGGTTACTATGTCTTAAGAATAAGAATATTTTATAATGAAATGAGATAAATGTTGATCAAGCATTTTGAGTGTGGACTGTTTTCTATCGAAGAGTGTGGTTTATTAAATTGGAAATAATTTTTCTTTTGATATCGGGTTTTCATGTTCTTGGCTGGCTGGATAAATTAACCCGTTCCTCAGGGGTATACTTAGGGTATTGATAGTAGTCCCGGGATCTATTTATCATGGAGTGTGATGTGGAGTGTGATGCTATATTTGGAGTGTGATGCAGCCTAAAGAACTTGAAATTGTTGTTTCTTTTCATTTAGTTTGGAATGTGGTTTCCTTATTGAAAAGTCGTTTACTTTATTTAATTATTATTTCATTGAAATACAATGCTTAATCGAACTAGATGGGTATACTCTTACCGAGCTGTCTAGCTTATGCTTTTAAATCTCATCTCATTTCAGGTACAGACAAGTAAGCATTTGGGGTTGCATTTGGGAGTGAGAGGCACAACGATTCTAGAGTAGTTCTTTGGTTTAGTTTAAGTTATTTTGGATTGTGGAATAATTAGAATTGAAGATCTATTTGCTATGACTTGTTGCTATTAAATTTTATGTGGATTTTATGAAGTGAGGATTAAGTGTTTTGGATTTGAAAAAACTTCTCGTACATGTTAATAAAGATGGAGTTCCCTATAGAATTTAATTTTATTGCATTTGGACACTAAAAGTTGTTTAGTTAAGGTAGCCTTACACATTTATGGGGTTATCCCTATAGATGTGTGGCGTTTGTTACGTCTTGACCTTGGGGTTGGGGCGTGACAAATAAAGAACTTGAAAACCCGATATCAAAAGAAAAATTATTTCCAATTTAATAAACCACACTCTTCGATAGAAAACAATCCACACTCAAAATGCTTGATCAACATTCATCTCATTTCATTATAAAATATTCTTATTCTTAAGACATAGTAACCAAATAAAATTATATAAAATACGCTGAAAAGGTAAAATAAAATTTCAATAAAACAAACCTCTTAAAAATAATACTAGAGGATATAACAACTTACCTCAAATAATTAATCAATATTTTCACTCGACGCTGCCTCTTGAATTATTTAAAACTTTCGTACTATCTTCTTTGTTAGAATTGAAAAGATCTACAAATCATAGGCCATATTGCTAGAATCAAATCCCTAAAATTTCCTCAATTTGACTAATCCGGCAATCTATCAGACGGAAGCCCCTTTCTTATGCTTCACAAATGGCGACAGCACCTTCCCAAGTGGCGGCAGCATTCCAACCTCATTTTCGCCCACCCTTCGTCCGTTTTCTATTTAGGTTTTAGTAATAAAAATGTTATAATATTTGGTTAGTCCTTTCACTCTTGATTCCTTTATAGTTAAACCTCTTAATTCCCTCTCCTTACATTTAAATCCTTTAAGGGCTTAAATAAAATTATTTAAAAGTAATAAAATAAAATAAAATAAATGCCGGATATTACATGCTACCTTCTTCTTTAACCTCTCTTTGGATCTGGAATGAAGAAAATTTGAAATCCATACCTGGGAGGCTCTTCCAAAACCTAAGTTCCCTTAAAGTGTTACATATAATCAACTGCCCAAGGCTACAATCTTTGCCAAGGGAAGCCTTCCCTCCCTCGCTTGGAGAACTACGCATCAGAAGGTGGCCACATGTAAAACGACAGCGCTTTGAGGTGAAAGGAGAGTACTGGACTCTCACCTGGAGCATCCCCTACGTTCAAATAGATTAGAAAGAGGTAATATAAGCTTGGAGTGAGCTGAAACAGGCATCACCATTTTATGCTTTTCATATGAGAATTTAGAAAAATTACAATAGATAACACTTCGACTTCTTTTGCCTTCTTTTATATGCGTTGCAAATTCCTTTTCCAAGGTTTATTTTTCCCCAATTGTTGTGGTAAATAAAGCCAAGCCACTCCTCAATGTTACTAGTACTTCATTTATTCCTTGGATTCATCAGCTGTATATTATTATATACTGTTTATTATCCACCTTGAATTTTTTTCCTCTAAAAATATGCATCCATTCACTTGTCTCAAAAATGGCGTACACTTTCAGATTATTTTCAAAGGGGATTAGTGGTTGGCCTTGGCATTATGGAGATTCACAACCACCAAGAAGCTTGCTGCTTGTAAAATGATGATCTTAGGCAAGCCAACCAATTTCAATTTTAAATTCAATTACAACAGGAGCTTATGTTTTCCATCCAAAGAATTGGGAAGGACTTTCGAAACAAGGAGTTGCTGATGTTCAAATGAGATATTTCTGTAAGCTGGAACTTGAATGCAGATCATCTCTGCTAAATTAAGCAAGCTTCTAATATGACTAAATCAAGCTGCAGTTCTACTAGTTTTTTATTTGGGAAAGCAAAACTTACCTCGTAAGTATCCAAACTACCTCTTTAAAATTTTACTGTGATGCCTATTTGGTTTGCTATTTTAATTGTTTAGGACAAGGAATCAAAATTGATACATCAAGCTATCTCTATAGTGTCCAAACTACCTCTTTAAAATTTTATTATGATGCTTATTTCTAATTTCCCGTCCCTTTTTTCATGTTCCCAGTTGCTTGTCCAGAAGACATAGCAAAATCTTGTTAGGCCTATGTAGGACCCCTTTGTTTTGTGATCCCTTTTTCCTTTTATGCGCTAGAAGTTATGAGCATAATCTCAATTGTCGTTTAATAATTTCATTTGCTGATGAACAAAAACAAAAAATGTCATGTGCTTGCTCATTTCGATTCTAATTGATTTTTGTTGTCTTGTATTTGTTTTACCAGCTATTTGTATGACCTTTTTTCTTATCATAATTTTGATTCCAATGCATGGAGATCAGGTAGATATCAAGAAGTTAGTCTCCCACATGAGTTCCCTCACTTGCCTTCATTCCCATCTTCTTATTCATCGCACATTTCCCATCATTTGTGATTGCTTCTTTACTACTGTGTAACGTCTAACTTAGTTCATGTTTTAAATCTCATAGCATCTTAGTAAACCCTTTACCTTTCTCGAGTCAATTACAGGATTAATTAAAGGGTTGATCTAAGATTCCAAGTTCAAGCCTCCCTTTTTAGGCAACATATTTCTTTAACAAGTAGGTGCTAGATGCTTTGACATTAATGTTGCCTTTCATGTGGGAGACGATGCTTCCACTATGATGAATCAGAAATGAATGATCCAATTATGTGTACTATGTGCTCTCTTTATTCATCCTAAGTCACATCCAAGATTGCAGCACAAACACTGTTGCTTTATCTGCTGCTTTACTTAACAATGGGCTGACTTGCAAAGTAACTTCAAGATCTAACAACTTGATGAAAAATGGTGGTGTTCACAAATCCGTCATAGTTGCTCGCTTGCAGCTATAGTCTTCTACCCTCCAAAGAAACACCTCTTTGGTAAGGCAAGGTTCACTTTCTCATCCCTCAGTCGTTCAGAGTGATTCTTTATCATGTCATCAAGATAATGCTAAGTTTAACTCATTTTTTCAGGACATGGATTTTCTTTGAGTTTCTCTAGTAACTTCCCTTGATCAATTCCCTAAATCAAGGACAATTCGAGGATATATATAAAGGTGGATGGAGTAAAGCTTTGAGGCAGCATTATGCACAAATCATTTCAAGGTGCATTATCACATTTTAATCCTTTAATGTGCGCAAATTTTAAAATTTTAAATCAAGTTGTTAGTTGTAGGAAAACTTATTATTAGGCTAATTTATGCCATACTCAACTATGTTAACCAACCATTTTAGTTTCTTATTTCTTTAGGATTCTTGTGTTGTATGTATCCATCCATCTGGTGTTAAGAAAGCTCTTCATGAACGCATACATGAATTGCATGGAGCTTGGACTTTGAATGTAATAAGTCAGTGGAGCTTTGAGTAACAGCTGGTGGCTAGTTTTGATCAACATTGCAAAAACAATGTAGAGACTGTGCAAGTGAGTTGCAACAGCAACAGGAAGGTTAGTAGAGGAGTTATGGTTTTGCTCGATGATCAACAGTGATTTGATCTCCAATTCCTCTTGGTACACACTCAGCACACTTAATGAGATTCCCAGTTTGATTGGATATTTTAATTTCTAGCTTTATTTTGGTGATGATTAATACATTAGTGATCCAACAATTTTATTCTTGATAATTTATTGTTGTGTACAACCTCTAGTGTTTCCTAGAGTAGAAGAAACTTTGTAATAATGCTATTTTTAGTGTACGTTTTTTACTGGATTAGATTCCGGGGTTTTTCCCCTAAAGGAATTATCACATTAAAAAATCTAATGTTTTGACTTTGTGGATGTGATAATTTTTATTTTTGTTAGTTACTTGATTTATTTTTGAGTTTGATTATTTCCCATTTAATTGCATACAGGGAGAAGAATACCAGTTGAATGTTTCATATACGCAAATGGGATTTTGATTCATGAATCCCCAAAAGCTAGAAAAGCTTGCTTTTATCTTTGTGATCCCTATTCAAATTCAAGTTATTAGCTGTGCTGGATGGACTCTTTGGTGGTAGACCATAATTGAACTTGAGTATACCTGCAACCCAAACAAAGCTTTAGGATTTGATTCATATACATATTTTTGAATTCAACTGAGTAAAACATATGATTGTTGTTCTTAAAAAAAGAAATGTAAATGATTTATATCCTGAAGAAGTATTACTTAAAGTTAAGAAAGGAATGATCTCCAATATTCTATGGCTATGTATAGTTTTATATATAAGAAATGAAAAATTAACATCATACATTTACTTAAATTGAATACCGAACAATACTCTGGAACTGGAAAGGTCAGGGATGGTATATACCAATCTAGAACAGACTGAATGATCTTTTTAATTTTGATCCTTACAGCCAGGCCTGTTGTACACGCATCTGGGTGAAACCATGTGAGCCATCACCCTCTTGAAGTCCACAAGTCAATCATCTGAGCAAATCATTTCAAAAAGTTGGTTTACACATGCATTGATCTTTCCTGTGGTTGCACAACAGCACTGCACATCACCTACAAAAGTCAGCACAAGAATATCAGTTGAAAAGCTAACTGTTAGTAACAGCCCTAAGAATGAGCTACCTTGTAATCAATCTCTGCTGTATACTTATATTACAAGTGATATCTTATATTTGAATTTGAGAATTCCTTTTTTTTTTTTTTTTCTTTGCCAAAGGAAAATATGTAAAATGAAGCATTTGGATGACAAGTTAAACTTTGGGACTGTAGTCTTGGGATTCTTGAAATGCTATGACAGACAAGTCTTTGACAAGGTTTAAAACAATCTTTTTGTTCTAAAGCAGCATTTATCAGATTAAGAACCACCCATGTATTAGTCTCTATATAAATATACTAAAATGGAAATCAAGGGCCCAAAGCCATTAAGTTCACATGCAAATTCCTATTACTGGTCTTCCAAGTTAGAGACAGTTACTACCGTATCCACAAAGAGATGAATGCAAGAAAGGTAAATAAATTAGCACAGATATGACATTTAGTTTAAATTGAAAAGATGCGAAGATTGAGCGGATATAGAAGAAAATATAAAGAAATCTCACCATATTGCTCCCACTTATCGAAATTCACCAGCCATTTGCTTGAACCAATCTGTGTAGATAATACACTATCCACCCAAACCCGAAACTTTTTTCCTGCTTGTCTCCATACCACCCTTTCAATTCATGTATGCATTCATGAAGAGTTTTCTCAGCACCAGATGGATGGACGGTTACAGCAGATGGATCGTGAAGAAAGAGGAATTAAAATTGGTGGTTTTTTTTTTAACATAGATCATAGAGTATTCCAACAAGAAATGAAAAGTGGAAACAGCATTTCTTAATAGATTCATCAGATAAAAAATATCAATAAAAGTTGATGCAAAATGTCAATAGGTTCCAATCAAAGTAAGATGTAACTTAGTCTTAGTACTGGTTGTAGGTACAGCTACATAAAGTACATTTTGGTCAAGCATTTAAGCTAAAAGTTTTCTTAAGTTTATTATTTGAGGATAAATTTGCTTTCCTAATTTTCCCAATAAAAGCTAGCTATATACTTCTTATCTATACCTATACTCAAGTTAATCCATCAGCCAACACTCCAAACTAGCAGGGACTTTTTATTTCCACCTGGGCATGATATATGTAGCAGCAGAGTAGGGATACATTCTCAACATCATGCTGATCAACCTGCAGAAGGAGCACCATGTCCAATTAAAGTAACTAATAGCAATACGAGCACGACATCACTCCAGAGTGAAGAAAGAATTTATGAAACCGACCATTGTATGATCAAGATCAGAAACTATCATAGACGTGCAGAAGCACTGAGCCGATCCATGAGCACTCTACTGCAACCGTTAACCCTACAATCAATTTAATAACTACCACAATTAGACGCTTCTATGTGAATTTAAGTTATGAATTCTACAAAATGGGACAAGTTTGAAATCACAACACAAAGAAGTAAAAACGCATGGAACCATGGAAATCGAAAGCAGTTGCAAGATTCTATATGTTCTTAATTATGATTAAAATTTAAGTTGTGAATTTTACAAAATGCAAAAAATTCTAGAAATGAGTTTTAAAACCATACAGGAAAAATTCTAGAACGAATCGAATCATTGGAATCAAATTACACAAACACAAGAAAAATCGATTCTAAGCTTCAGAAAATCACCTGCAATCGGATTTACAAGAAACGAGTAGAATAGGTAAAGTGCATTGAATCTCAGAAATTGAAAACAACAAATTCAGCTAGCAAGGAAGCTTTACCTGCCTGGAACCAGAGCCAATCAATTCAAAACTTTGAGAAATCAGCTGCGATGGAAGGAATTGAAGTATGAATTTAGCCAAAATTTTAGGATTACTATTTGGTTTCATCCCTCTATTTCGGCCAATAAGTGCCACACCGTCAGTTAATGCCACATCATATCCTACGTGGCACATTGAATCTAGCCACCTTAACGATCGTTTAACATATTCGGTTAATATAAAACGTAGGTGACTAACGCCTAAATAACTTAAGAAGTTAGGTGATTATTTTGTTAGAGTTATGAGTTGCGTCACCAAAACGTTGATTTTGATAAAGTTGGATGACCACCTGTGAGATTCATTCATTAATGAGCCATGAACATCTCTGGAAAAATCTCGTATACATAATGGAATAAGAATCCGGCCAAAAATATATATAATGGAATAAGAAAGTTTTTAACGGAAACGGAGGGCAAAAATAAAAGTAAAAAGATTAATTCTAATATTCAATTAAAAATAATGATATAAGGACGATTCTTGTGAGATGAAATTATGGAATCACTTACGTGACTGTCACGTAATACAAACGCCCAACCCTACCTCAAATAGATAACTGAGAATTTTGATTTCTCTGACAGCCGTTGGCTTAATCAATGCAAACTGTGAAGTAGTCCCCCAGGACTATGAGACCCAATATTAAATATAGTAAACAGAAAAAAAAGGAAAGAGTAGATCCACAAGAAAAAGTAGAGTTCATATACTGTTTGAAATGGGGTTGGACATCTGTATAGATGGCAGCCCGTAAGCGGTCTCATAATTTCGTCTCACAATAATCGGTCGTATATCATTATTCTATTTAATTACTATAGAGATTTGAATTTTTATTATTGATATTTATAGTAAAATTTTAAATATTATAGAATCATAAATTTTTTAAAATATTTGGAGTAAATTGTGATCTTCACCAAATTTGAAGAAGACGCAATTTTTCCTAATTAACATGCATGTTATACATAATCATGACTCAACTAATTAGAATTGGGTGTTTCTTTTAAAAATTACATCTTCTTTAATTTTAGTGTAGATGATAATTTAGTCTAAATTTCAAATATTTTAAAATATTTATGATTCTATAATATTAATAATCTTATCATTAAGATTGACAATAAGAATTTAAATCTTTAACAACTAAGTAATACTAATAATTTAATTGATAGAAAAATCATTTTCCAAAGATGAAGTTTGCATTCACCTTCTTTTCCGTCAATATCAACAATTAAATCCTTAACAGGTACCATTTTTTTAAATGTAGCGGGGAGGAAGCTCCTCAATTTCTTGAACTATCAACTCAAAATCGGCGTTAAATGGCTATGGGTCATGTGTTGCAAATAAACAATGAATCTTTTTTATTTTTTACTATAAAAAAATATGATTAATAAATTAATATTTACTTAAGTAACAATAAAAAAATCAACATGATGATTATGAATAACGTTTCACTTTGCTTCTCACGTAAAAAAACATGATTCCTTGGACCACGCTGGGGAGTGCACAAACATTGAATCTTTATTTTCCTTGAAAGAGGATTATAAACGTTAAAGAAGGTTTCTTTCTGACTCGTACCTTAGAATTATATTATATTGCGAGTTTCATCTCTTTCGGCGATTTGTATGATTGGGACGAACAAAGGCCATTATTAATTGAAAGAGGCATCGGCATTGATGAATTAATTTTACTCTGACAAGGATAATAGTTA